ATTCGAAAAGTTATGAAACAAAATCGAATATGGTTATAAAATGTCTTTCTTAGAATAGTCGAGTATGCACAAACACAAAAATTGTATAATGTGTGTATGGTTTATAGAAAATGCGCGACCTTGAAATTTGCAATATCTATATTATATTAAGAAAATTCGTAGATCTTAGGTCTTCCCAATAGCTACCAGCAATTTTATTATCAGTAATATTGTTATTTTAGCCCCAATTCGTCCAATCGATTTATATAGACAGCTTACATCTCATATGTCAGTCAATATCCTTACATTGCAAACAATATTTCTTGCTGTTGCACCATGCAGAAACTCTTAGACACTCTTCATATTATTTATATAAATGAAAGTACGAGCTGACCAATCTAACGGTATTTTTTTTTTACAAAAAATAAAATCTTCTATACACGTACATATACACAGACACATTTCATAGAAATTTTTAATATTTGTTGCAACATGTCGCATCAACAAGCACATGCTGTCAGCTTGCTAGCAGCAACTACTACAACCGACAATACTTCGCACTCGACTGCAGCACTTACGCAACGATAGCAAAACACTTACGCACTGAAGTTTACAAATATTTACCAGCTAGCTATAACGAAGATATTTCTTGCGAAAAACTTCAGTACAATATCTGGAAGCTTTTGTGACTCTTATTCATATATATATATATATATATAGTGAAATATCATCGTTATAGCTATGCTATGTATATGTGTGAGTTTGTACTCGTATGTGAGTAAACTTCGATCAAGCAACATTTTGGTCAATACTCTACTCAATGCTCAATAGCTGGTTGACAGCAATTTACTGCACAAGTGTATTTTAAAGCCAACAGCTGCTGGGAGATAATATTATATAACAATGTATATGTGTGTGTATAAAAGTTTTTTGCTTAGCTTTTTATGCATTTGTAAACATGTATTTATTGACAGATTTTGTTGTCCCTTGCAGCAGTTTATTGATTCTCTTCGCAACGACAAAAGACAACAAGAAATGCCAGCAGCAAGAGCAAATTTTGCATATAAGTAATAAACTTGTATAAACAAATGATTGCGTTGTGTGTATATACCTGTGTGAATCTCAAACATATGTATGTACAGTTCTGTATTTGTATTGGTGAGTAAACAATTTCAGTTTCAATTTCAAGTGCAATCACGTCAAGCATCGAAGAGCAATGCGATACACATGGCATTATGCTAAATTTTTATAAGCACTCAAGCAGAGCCTCTACCAAGAAAAAGAAGGGGGAAAACGGCAGCATCAAGAACGGAGTAGCCAGTAATATGTTTACCAGAAAAGTCGTGCAGAGCCAATGAAGGTTGAGCGTCTACCAGAATTAGGCTGATATGCTGACTACAGCTCCTCAGCGTTTGACAAAAGCTCTCCTTAACTCTAACCTATTACCCTCAAGAAAGTGTGTCTGTGTATGTGCGTACCTGTTTACTTACACGTCGAGCAGTTGCTATGCATTAAATCCCATTGAACTGCAAATTAAATTACCGTTAAGCATTAGTCTGGCATGCTTTAGCTAACGCAGAAAGCATTCGATATCTATACAGTTACTTAAATTTATATATGAACCATATAGTACTGTATGTAATAAGTAGTGTTGCGCAGACAAATGAAATTGAAACCTACTCGCTAGCGGCAGCAGCGCTCACTCTTTTATATGCCGTTGGCCTCTTTCAATCAAATTTTTGTTCAATTTTTTTGTAATTTTTTTTTTCTTTAACATTTTGTCATTTCCTGCTGCCCACACACTTGCCGTTGCCTTACTTGCCTCACACACAAATCTATTTCGTTAGGTTTCGATCTGTTTCGGTCTGCGCTGGACTTGCTGACTTGTCTGCTCTTGACTGGCTTTCACTTGCTCTCAAATGCTTTCACCAGCTTTTCTTTATCAATATCTGGCGCTGTCCGCCACCCGCATGCTGCGCGCTACTTCAGCGTCTTCGCTTTGCTTACCGTCATAGTTTGCTGCCACTTTTGACTTCAGTTTTTCTTCTTTGTTTTGTTTACTTTTTTCCTCCCTCGCTTTCTACCCTCTTTACTTGGTTATTTGTTTTCTTATTTTCTTTGGGAATTGTTTTCGTTTGTCTTTCGTTAAGTTGAAGCAACCGAGCATCCAAGTAGTATGCTTGCCACTTATTCCAGCTATTGATGCCAGGCCAACGCTAATGCCAGTGCCAACAAAATCAGCCCAGACACCCCCAAAATCAATAGCATCTGGAAATCGACAATAATTTCAAATTGATTTTCGTTTACTTTTCCACATGTCAGGCAAGCCAAACAGTCAGTCAGCCAAAGCGCTGTACTTGCAACAAACAGAAAAATATAAGAAAATATGTGAGTTTGCGGGTAATTTTACAAGTAAGTACGACCGTGGGCACCTTTTGGGCCTCTTTTTATAAAAGCGGTTAGATTCCACCGCTACTGGTGGCTAGTGGTGGGTATGCCACGGTAAGCAATCACAGTTTGGGTTTACAGGCATTTTGGCATCAGTTGATTTAACAAATATTACTTGTACGTGAAATTCTAACAGATTTTAATCTGCCATTTGGGTAGCTTATTTTTGTTTATGTGTGTGGGTACTTATATACAGCCGGTATGGTTTCATGGCGCACTTTAAGTATTTAGTAAGGCTTTAAATGCAATTTGTTGTATGCTACTCAACTAGGTATAAAGACGAAGTAATGCTGTATTCATTTGGTTCGGCAACTTGTTTCTTAAACAGTCGTACCATAAATTTTAGGTGGCATACATATCATTTAATTATTTTGAATTTACTCTTGGTAAAATTATTTTATAATTTTCCACGAATATTGCGCGCGGATGTGGGTTCGTCAATATGTATCGATTTCCATCGTAATGCCGTCTTTCTTGCTTAATTACACTCTGAACAGGGTGTATTAAGTTTGCCATGAAGTTTGTAATACCCAGAAAGTAACGTCGGCAACGCTATAAAATATATACATAAATGATCAGCATGATGAGCTGAGTTGATTTAGCCATGTCCATTTGAACCTGTCTTTTCCTCACTAAGAAGCTGCTCATTTGTCGGAACGGCCGATATCAGAGCAATTTTTTTATGTGTACATTATATAATTACATAAATTGATAAACCACATGAGTAGTGCAACAATTTTCAACTAAGTGAATAAGAATATATGCACCAAATATTTGTTTGTAGATAAACTGGCAAAAGCTTATTTCCAAATTACTTTAGAGGAGCACTAGTGTCGGTACAACCAAAAAAAAAAACAATTGGTGGATTAAGCACCATAATACGATTAATCGTATTGGTTCAATCTTAAATACTAAACAAGGTGAAATCGAATGTTTTCATTACCTCAAATAAGTATAATGCAACATTAGAGGAAAAACACTGAGAGTTCAGAGACAACCAGAGTCCTCATGATAAGGGAAGTGAACAATTTTATCTTATTTTTCAGGATTGTTGTACTTTATTTTATTGAACTCCAACATCGTGGAAAACGTGGCATTGAACTCCAATCTGTGAAAATTCTTCCCAAACCCGTTATTTAAAATTGTATACATATATCTAAACAGGTAAAAATGTTAACCGATCTGAATAATTTCAGCAGTGATTGCAACATTGCCTTGAGCAATAATCCATGCCAAAGTTCTTGAAGATATCTCCTCAAATAGAAAAGCTTTCCCTACAAGCACTTTATTCCGATCATTCAGCTTGTAGGGCATCTATATGCTATAGAGGTCTGATATCGGCCGTTTCGACAAATCAGTAGCTTCTTGGTGAGAAAAGGACCTTTGCAAAATTTCAGATCGATATCTTAAAAAAAAAGGGACTAGCTCGCGTGTATACAGACAGACAGACGGACACGCTGATAATTTATGGTATTTATATACTTTATAGGATCTTTGGCGTTTATTTTTTGGTGTTACAAACATCGTGGCATACTAAATACACCTGAACAGGATATAAGAGGGTATGTCTATGAAATTAGCATTACTTAGAAGGTTATCGCAAATATAATTCGAATTTGTTTTGGTTTGGTTCTATCTTGGAGATATAATATTTTCTGAGTTTTAGTAACATAGCCTACAATTTGCTAGAATGTCGAGAGTAATTTCACTGCTGGTTAACATTATAAGAACAGGTGGGTTATGAAGCGACTTCCTTTTTCAACTGTGACGAGTAACATACCTCTGAGAGAGCACTTGACATCCATCATATTTTGACGTATATGTTGAGCAGAATAACTGCAGAATAAATGTAAAACAAATACATTTCCTTCCCAAAAAAAAAAAAAAAAATTTGAAAGCGAAGGAATTTGATTTTTATTGAATTGCACTTTTATTAATGAAAGAAGTATATTCAATACTATAGCTCTGTTCTCAAGCGAGTTATATAACATAAAACATAGTCCCACGTTATTTGTTGAGTATAATTTTAAGGAATTACTCATGAGAAATGTCTTAATTCTAGAGTAAACAAAATATTTTGGAAATCCAAACTTATACTATACATATTTATAGTATTTTGTACCATGTTGTACCAGCTGTCACATAACAGTTCAATATTGTTCAGATTCAGTAAGAAAATATTTTAACGCCAATTTCAGCGATTAAAAAGTATTTAAAAATAATGAAGTCATTAATCTGATTATTTTGTTATCATTAGTTAGTAGTTAAATGTGTCCAAGTAATCAAAAGTTTTTACAGAGTATAGTCAATTAAATGTTATGCCATAAAAATTATTACAAAATTTATTAAGTGGACAGTTACAAATAAATTTAATATGGATATTAAAATAAATGGGTCAATAACGGAATCTATTTGTGACAACACTTATATTACAGTGAACATAAAAGTTGAATCGTTAGGTTTAATATTTTCAAAGCAAACTTTATAGAAGCAGTTAACAACAACATTTATACCCTCCCCCCCTTAAAGGCTATATCAGGCGGTGTCAAACCGCTCCCTCTCGCACCACTCACCTTGCTTTGGCGAACTGCTGCTCATCACCTGCTGCGGCGATTGCTGCTGCGAGTGTATCTGATATTGCTGCTGTTGTTGTTGTTGTTGCTGCTGCTGTTGCACTGCAACGCAAGCCTGTTGCTGGGCCACACAAGCAGCTGCTGCAGCAGCGGCTGCAGCCTGTTGCTGCTGATGGTGTTGAGCCACAGCAGCGGCGGCAGCTTGTTGCTGCTGTTGTTGTGCCACTACAGCAGCTTGTTGTTGCTGATGCGCCACTTGTGCAGCCTGCTGTTGTTGTTGTTGCTGCTGCTGTTGCACAACAGCCTGTTGATTGGCTGACATTTGCTGAGCGGCAGCGGCCTGTTGTTGTGCCTGCTGTTGTTGTTGCTTACTAACAGCAACCGCAGCGCTACTCTGATGATGGGACTGCTGCATATGCGATTGATGAATGGTCAGTAGTTTGGTCTCGTAGGGCTTGGCATGCGGCGCACCCACCGACAGTGGTTGGCTGCTGATCGTCATTTGTGCTGTGGCTGGCATCATGGGAGTCGGCATCGCCAACATGTTTACTGGATCGTCTGCGGCGGCGGTGGCGGTTATTGTGGCAATTTGTTGTTTAATGTTGGGCCGCGCGATTTCGAATTTTGTTTGATTTGGTGTTAGTTTTTGTATTTAACTCTTATTAGTTGTTGATGTGCTTTTTATCCTTTTTGGTCAGACGCGGTTTGTTTGGTTGAGTTTCGCGAGAAACAGAGACTTGTCGCGAAATTTTGATTTCTTTCTCGTTGGTTTACTCGGAGTCAATGATTTGTTTTTATATTTTGTCTAATAATTTTTATTTATCTTTAACAATTTGTATACTCTTGATGCATTGATTTTTTGATGTTACAGATATTTTTAATATGTTTTTGTGTATGAAACCGAACTGCTTGGATGTTTTCTGTTGTTCTAGGAGCATCTATGCTTTAACGAGCGTAAATTGTTGTTTTTGTTAAAAGTTAAACTTTTTTGCTTAAACTCTTTAATGCTTTCCACTATAAAAATCTGACATGACATTCACTTATCACAGACCAATAATTCTAGTTTCCCACTAAATTTTCCTTAAATTTAAAATATTTTTCGTTAACTTAATATAAAATGAATCTGAATTACGTAACATGCATTAATAAACCTATTTGAAGTGACTTTGAAGTGAGAGAAGGTCTTTTTAATGCTGAATAAAAGTTGGTTTAAACCTGATTTGATAAAGTACATACCTTGTAAATTTGTTTTGAACTAATTACAATACCAAACATACATTCAGCGAGTTTGAAAAATTTGCGGGTATTTCATGGTAGTCCACAACTGACCCAGGTTCTAATGACTGTTAAACGTGTCTAAGCAGGGTGGCTTTCTGGGAGAATGGATCTTTTCTTCCACCATATTTTTAATATTGATGCTTGATTTTTTAAACGATTGTCAGACATTGAAATTCATTAAAAATAAGCAGTGGGGTAAATTCGTAGATGTCAATTGATATTTAATTTATTTTTATAACTGATGATGATGTTCCTAGATCTATTAAATATAGTTCAACACATATATTATATTTTTTAAGTATGTGAATTAGTGTTTAAAAATAAACAAAGTCTTCATGATCGAATTGTCAAGCGCATTTTTCACGTTTGTAACACAGGTTGGATACACGAGCAGCTTTAGACACAGTATAGCTATCTCGCAAACATGGATTTGCAAATACAATGCTTTTGACAGGGTGAGCTATTATTTCCAGAACTCATAAAAATTGTTAAAATATGACCTATAAAAGGGAGATAAAGTCTTAATTTAGACGGTTAGATGGATGCATAGAATTTCCTTTCGTAAAAATATTATTGACATAACTAAATGATAGTGTTGAATGGAGGCAATTGGGCTCAGAGCGAAGTAGATGTGAAGAAACCGCATAAAAATATGTCATATTTTAAAATTAGGCTAATCTTTAAAAAACTACTAACTCATTTGATCAGCGCACAAGGATCAAGGCACTGTTTGTCATTAACATGTACTAAGCAAAATGTCTGACGTAATTTGTATTTGTGATAGCTTTGACTTTTTAAAGTTGTGCAAACTAGAATTTAAACAGGCGTTAAGACTACTTTGAACCATCCAAGATATCGAATATAAAGTTTTTTCTAGATTATGTTGCATAGAACAGGCAAATAAACGTCAAGGAATATGTACATCAATAACACCTTCTATCATAATCGTCATGCAGATCCGTAAAGCAACAGAAATTTGTTTCAACAGAGCTCGCAAGCTATTTAGAATACGCTGCAAAATTAAACTAATTTTAGAGTAGCCGAATTAAAACCATGTTTATTTAAAAGCAAAAGGATTTTCTGCAGAAAATTATTTTTTGGTGGACTACATTAAGTAACTACCCCACCTGCCTACACAGCGAGATTCACGGCGTCAATTGCCTGCTACTTATTTAAATATTTACCTATTCTAATGAGTTTCTCAGATTTCTTCCAAATTTTGCAGCACACACTTAAATTATATGTATATGGTTAAAAAACACAGAAGCACTCACAGCTATTTTTAATTAACTCGTTATACATATATATCTATACCCCACTTTCTCACCTCATCTCTTATTTACTAACAGATACGGAAATAAAACGTATGTTTACACTGCTCACGCACACACATGCACAAGAAGGTAAATACAGATAAAAAGCTCACACAACAAACTAAGAAAAATTATATAAAATAAGTAAACAAATAACAGCAACTCTCGCCATCGTCTGCGAAACTTCACTGTCTTCGTCTTAAATTTTCGCCTTCGACAGACCTTGCACGCAATTTGCGCTGTTATGCCTTTATTATGCACTTAATTTTCACACAAAAGCAAAAAAAAAACCTTAAATAGGAATTCATTTAATGACTTTTCTGCTTCTCCACGAAGCTGCAAGTAGATTCAGCTACAGATTCGTTTTACGATCGTGCACAAAAGAAGTTATGAGAATAAAGCTAAAAATATACATCAATGAAGATATTTTACATTATATGTACAGCTAGTTATATGTAAAAATATATGTATATATAATACATATAAATACCTTTGTAAAATTATATACTAAACTTTATATACAGCTCACTCATGCGTTTCGTCCTCTTCAATGGGCGTGTATGAGTGTACATAATTTCTCCGGCTCGGAGTTTTTGCGTATCTTTATGTATATGAGTATGTGTATTAGTATGTCAGCAGCTGAGAAAATCGATTTCATTTATATGCAACTCGACATAATCCTAAAATCATGTAAATGCGGAAATTAAAGCTGAAACACGCAAACACACAGATGTTAGTAGTTATTACTGGTTTGAGTGCGTGAGTTATTTAATGGTTCTCTTAGACACTGGTAATATTTAAATTATAGAAAATAGTTCGCAAAATATTTGGTTCACAAGTTACGCATTTTTATGCGAAATGAAAACTTTTCGACGGAAGTACTAAGCACTCATACAGTTTTTTTTTAATATTTTAATTGCGGAGATCAAGAAATCATTTTGAGTTTTCGGGATTTAAAATTTGCGCTTTAAGATTTTAGTGTCATAATTGTGGCTTAGTTTAGATGATGATTTTTCTATCTCAATCTCAGAATATTGATACTCAAATCGTATCGTAATCGTATTCTTCATATGCATATTTATAAAGAAGAAGTTAAACTACTTTAAATTTTTCTTCTTTTAAATTGTTGAGTTTTCTTTTAGCAACATGCCTTTAAGCGCTCTCGACTAATAAATTAAAAAAAAATTTATTTTGAAGTAATAACTTATTCTTTTACTCTCATTATCAAAAAGTTTTACTAGATCTTCAGCCTTCCTCTAGCCACTATAATAAAAAACATACTGAGTATATTTCAAATGTTCAGCGTATATTACTTTATTGCTTATTAACTAGCTTAGAAGTTCTGCCAGTTATTTATTGTAGATAATATTATTTTAAATTGTATTGTCATAAAAGTTATACAATTTATATATATTGTATTTGGTTTTCATAGAGTTTATCACAAGTTTGATTAGCTATTAGCTACATTAGAGGGGCAAAGATTTTTACAACAAAAACAAAAAATTAATAAAATAAAATAAATAAATTTTTTAAATTATAATTATATTGTATAAATTTTTTTAATAATTAAGTTTAATTACTTTTTATTTTTTATTATATTTTTTAATGCATTGGTATTAAGCTAAAACTTTTAAAGTAATTGTTAAATAAAATTAAGCTATTATTTTTTGCCTACAAAAAGTCTTCCAACAAACTTGTTTCTAATTTGTTAATATATTTTAAGCAATTTTTTTTTTTGTGTTTTGATTTCTATATTGTTATAACTTTTGAAGCGGCTCAATAAGTTTTGTAATTCACCAAAAATATATGTGGTTTAAAAACCTAAAATTGTAAAATTAATAATATCTCTTTAAAGAAAAAATATTTATTTATGTACTTAATTTATTTTTAATAAAAAATTAATTACATGTATGCAATAACTTCAAGCATATATTTAATAATTACTTAAAACAAACTGATATCATAAAGAACCGTACAAAAGGTCTCTTATTATTTCCATAACGAATTTTTCATAAATTACCTTAAAGAAATGCGATTTATTAGCAAGTGTCTTAACTTATGTATTTCTATATTAGCTGCAATTTCTCACACTGCCTTAACTTCCTACCCACTCAAGACACTACACACATTCATTGTTTATAAATTTAAGCAATTCAAAGTTTACATAACACTAAAAATACACAACTGCACACACATACCTACATACAAAGATACTAACAATATATAGAAAATGTTAGCTTACTTAGACCGAACACTTGCATTAAAGTGTGTTTCACTTTCTTCCAGCCACTTCAAGGCACAAATACTTATATATTAAAATACAACAACAATTAAGCAAAATTATTTCAAATTTTTTTCAAGCACGCCAACTTACACCTTTCACGAAATAATGTTTAAAATAATTTTAAACGATTTTTTGTGGGTTTTTGTTTCCTGCAAATTTTTGATTTCTCGCAAATTGTCGCGTTTCAGCAAAATTCACTAAGTATGTATACGATAATGCTTGTGTTGTTTTATTATATTTTATTAAAACGCTTTGTTTTTATAAGCAAATTAACTTTTTGTTTTATGTCAAAAAAGGGGGGACTTTTATTTCGTCGTTTGATTTCCTTTCTTTTCGCTTCTTTTGATTTACAATACAATTTTTTTTTTTTTTTGTGTTGCGCTTTGGCTCTTTTAATGCTTGCTGGGGCTAACTTTATAGATTTGGTTTTGGTGAGACTTGGCTTCAATTGCTGCTTCTTCTCAAAAATTATAATAACAACTTAACGACAATGTAACGAATATCCTTTCTTTACGAGGACACAATTCAAACTGAATGCGAAGTTCCGAAGTCGCCTTCACAAATACTCAAAATCGCGAGGACGAAGCGTTGACGCTGCCAACTGCTGGTCGGCCGCTGTCAACGTAGCTGTCGGCAGCATGCAACACATCGTTTTCGAATTTCAAATTTCGTTTTAGTGGCGGCGGCGGCAAAAACGCCATAGTAGTGGCCATCATTTGTTGGCGGCATAATCCTATACGTGGCTTACGAGCGTGGCAAGTACGAGTCGCATGCAATGTCGTTGGCAGCGACGTCGCTAAAAGGCTCGTCATCCTTTCAAGCAATGCTCATTCGCTTAGATTCACCGTAAATGGGGGGCGCGGGGAGGCTTTCATATTGGCAATTTGACATGCAATTTTAATGTGAATGTCTTTCGACTGTAAGTTGGTCTCTCTATTTCTTCCACGCTCTCACAATAATACACTCTTCGAAAACACGCGCCCAAGCAAGCGCAATCGTTTGTTTCGAATACTGAAAGTATTCTTTCAGTGTTTCGCAAATTCTCGTTTGTGTCGCACGATTCATTACGGCCGAAACACTATGCACATTGGCGCTTGTGAACTTTAGTTTCGTATTGGTTGCGAGTACTGGCGCTGTCGTTGTGTTGAATTGTAACTTGTACTCGGTTTTCGATTATGCGAATAATATTTCGAATTCGCACCTGGTTCGTTACTTTACTAATAACGGTATTTTTACTATTATCGGTGGTAGCGGTTTTCGAATTAAGAAGACTAAAGTGTTATAAAGTGTTATAGCATGACAGTTGTCGAAAATAGTTCGCATTAATCACGTAAAAATGCCTTTATGGAACAAAATAAACACTGTTATTTTGAAATCCGAAAAAATCCAAGCTTACTTGTTGGTCAATAGAAATGCTGACTGGAGTTGTATCATATTGGCAAATATATTTGTATATAAATACTAATCTATTTAATTATATGAATATAAGTGATATAATAATTTGTAATTGTAATCTGGTTATATCTATATAATAAATTCGATTATATGGGGCATTTCCCAAATATATTAATACTAAAAAAGTCCCAAGATCCAACATAAAAAAATACTTTATCTGACAGAAGAGAGCTTTAAGATATTCATTATTTTTTATTTCGACTCAATATGAAAAGTTTTGGAATTATAAATTTTAAAGAAAGTACTTCAGTATTCTTAACAGAAAAGTATTTCATTTATTTTTTATGATTTTTTCTCAACTTTACTTTGAGATAAGATAATGAGTTTAAATTGAATTGTTTAGACTTTTTTATAAATGAAAGGTAATAACAAATAAGTTTTTGAAATTTTTAAAATTCATAACTCCAAATTATTTAGACTCAAAAAACCGCAAAAAGAAATGTTTTAAATGAAATATTTCAATCGAATGACCCATATACATCTTTTGCGACAACAACTCGACGTCATTTTTGAATATATTCAGGTATTTTCTTACAATAGTAGCATTGACACGCTTCATACTCAAAACATTCACAAAATTGTATTGAGTCAATCCATAAGAGATTCTCTGCTATCTCTCTGATGCAAACATGATGAGTTTTAAGCAGTGTTTCTGCAACTTTATCGATGTTATCGTCATTAACAGAGGTGGGATGGCGAGTCGCATTAGGTAAATTTTCGATAACTTCACGATCTTCACTGAATGGTTAGTGCCACTCAAATACTTGTGTTTGTGATAAAGTAGATAGACTTCTCAAAACACTTCTGTGACATTTTCAATGATTGCTTTAGACACACATAGTTTCTTTCTTATTACTTTATTCAAATTTGTTTTTAAATACTAATATTTTCATGTCAAGTCCCTTTTTTTTCATAGTATCTAAAATATGGTTTCGTTCCACCCTAGCAATTCCTTATTTGTAAACATCATCTGCCACAAATTTAGTGAACCACCTTATTATAATTTAAAATGTAGTAACCGACAAACGCATTTGCTTTCAATAATTTTGTGATCAATTAAATATCCCATTAAATCGACCACAAAGCCAATAATCCACTTGAACGCCTTATGTAACACTTTTGTTTTCATCGCACTTAACTGCCATCTAATTTGCCACTTAAGCAAGTCAATTGTCTGTTAGACTTTTTTTAAAGTATGTGTGTGTAAGAATGCGGTTGCAAGCCTTCGGTTAAGTGAAGAGCAGCTGCAGCGCCGGGAAAACAAAAGAAATCCGACTCACAAGTCTCAATGAAACCACAAACAATGGAGAGTGCAATGAAATGCGATAAAGACGAGGCGAACATGGAAAGCTGATCGTCAAAAGCGCGCAGTAAGAGACCGCAAAGTAATTAAGACGAAAGGTGCAGGACATTGTAAGTAGCTGATAAAGTATCTATAAGATAAATGTGAGTGTTCATTACACATTTTACAAAGTTGTATGTGCTTAAGAAAAGCAGTTGGTGATAAGGAGGGGAAAATGTGAAAATTATTCTATTTCGACTTATGAAATGTTTAGAAGAAAGCGCATATGACTGATATATATTCATATATACCACATACGTATATTAAGGTATTTTAAATAATGTAATTAAATATGTTATAACAATAACAATAACAAGCTCAACAATAGGAAAATTTAATCTCTTCTACTCACTTAAGCTAATAAACATTAATATGTATTGTAGTTGAAACAAACACATACATACCTACATATTTATAGGATTTAAATTGTGTATAGAAGTAACGAACGAGACCGTGAACGAACGGTTGCAGGTTGTACGCATAGTTACACCTGGAAACAGCTTGTTGCATTATGCGGTATACAAAAATGCATTGCCCCCTCTTACTTCTGACTACACCTTTTCACTATTTTCTTGATATGTCTTTATTCGCCTAAACTGCATATTCCACTGCCGCAAGCCTTAACTGTTTGTCTGCATGAGGCAAGTGGCAAGTGCATTTGGCCGCAATATTGTACGCATATTATATGAATGCAGGCGCTTTAATGACGTGGCTCGCAAATAGAATGCAAGAGACGCAGACACGACCACCGGCGGTCTTTTACAAAGCGATATGTGTATACTTTCTCCTTACAGATATATTTTGTTTTATTTTTACATTCACATAGGTCTCTTAGTTGTTGCATAAATCAAAAGCTCTTGACTTGTTTGATACAAAAATGCGTTGTGAAAGTGAATCGGTTTTGGAAAGGGGTTTTTCGGTGTGAAAGAAAAGAAGTGAATTGAAATATACATGTATGTAGATATATATTCAATTTGTTATTTATGTTAAGTCACATATTAAGGTTAGTTTTATGCGTCGACATTGTTGCATAAACACTGTAGCTATTAAGAGGTCAGTTTCATAGCTGTTGTTATGTTTTAGAATTCGTAGGGTACTCACCATTGTAAATGGTTGAAGCTCCTTACTTTTTAGACATACTCAGATTGTAAAGAAGAAACAATGCTCACCTCTTGCAGCTAAATAACCAATATTCTTTTTACCAAATTCAGTAGTATTATATTATATATATACTATCGTTCGACATGAAGCGCTCGCTTTGTGTCTACCGAGATATTTCGATCTCAGTCTGGCAAAAGCTGGTCAATAGTGGAGAATATTAGAGCTTTAAGTAAAAGCGTCCGACAAACTATTTAGCCACACCACGTACAAATTTGTTGCTAAGAATCTTTGCTAAGAGCAAGTAGTTCAGAGCTAAGCTCATGGGCTTTGCAATTTGTGGTTTAGCTATGACCGAGCATCCACACAAGCATATTATTAATCTATTACTAGTCTCTAACTTGAGTTTTGAGCGCTTTTCCTGCAGTCAGACTTCGTGTACTCGCTGGAAAGAAGTTTAACGATATTGAAGTGGTAGCTGCCATATTCTACTTAAAGATATTTCAAATAGCGTTAAAAATACTACATCGAATTAATGGAAGATCGGTATGATCGGTATATCTATTTTAACGTCAACAATTTTGGAAAGTCGCATTTAAGAAAAATAGCATGCCTGTTAGATGCACAATTACATAAATAGCCAATGAAGAGAATAACACGAAATTAAAAAATTTATTTGCATTAATAAATTAATTAAAATTATTACTTAAAGCAGCAGAGAGAGGAAATCAATTTTCACATTTATACTTGAGTTGAAAGCGTCGATCCAATGGTGAGTATACAGTACCTGGTCCAAAAGAAACAGGAAAGCAACGACTTTAACTGTTAGTAACTTAACAAAACCACTGTGATTACAGAAACTCACGTTAGACAAAGAAAAGAAGGAATGGTGTGTTAATCAGATAGGTAGAGAGATTGCGACATCAATTTCCGTCGATATTATACATAATACGAGTACATAGCTTCATCATCTTTTGTACCAGTAGAAAAGAGTAGATAAACTACAAAAATTATTATTGACTGGCAAAAAAAAGTTAATACAATCGAATCATTTTGCTCCCACTAATCACTGCAAAAATTTCACAAAATATTGTTTCGAGCAAAACGCTTTTAATGATAAACTAATGAAGTTAATTGAGCAGAGTGGCTACATTTCAGAAAGCTGTAATTCAAAAAATATTTTAAAAATATACATTTAATATCTTAAATATTATTTTTGAAGGTATAAACTATCGCTATTTGCAAGAATAAAAAAATTAATTTTTCGAAATTTTACTGTAGGTGTGCTCCTTAAAACTATCTCCAAGCAGCTCCGATAACTACGAAAGTGAATGAATCCCATTTCCACGCCCATTTTTATATCGTCTATGTGTCTTTATTGCATTTATTTACTTACATAGCATAATCTAACCCAACCAAACATACAAGTTGAGTTTCCAACATTTCTCTCCTATCTCTTATTCGATCGCTAGAAATGAAACACAGAATCAATATGCCCACTATAAGCATATTCGGTTCAAGCGTATGAACTAGCTTCGTAAAAAAATAAATACATACATGTAACTATGTAACTAGACTACAGCGAGTAGGGCTGATAGTGTAGGTGTCTCAATATTGCCAGCTGTTACAAAATTGTT